TCTCGATCGTCAAAAATGCTTCTGGACCAATGGAAATATTTCTCGACAGACAAAAATTATTTATCAGCCAAGAGAATTTTTCTCGGCCAACTTTGTTGTGTATGGCTTTCTATACATGCAGCCGTGGTGGCCATTAAACAGAATATGATTTCTCCTTAGGTAACAATCTCCTTATACGTCAGGCCCCGGTTGTTCGAAGGATGGATAACGGTATACACTGGATAAATCTCTATGCGGTGGATAGCGCAGTACATTTTGGTAACACTTATCCGCTGGATAGCGATTTATCCGTTGGATAGCGTTATCCGCCCTTTGAACAACCGGAGCCAGCTGTTTGAGATAGACTTTCCTTTCGGGACCGTTTCCGCTGTTATCCATCCTACTTGCCCTGCTCGGCGGCAGTATCGGACTCAGGTTACTTTGGATGACTTTTCGCACACTTTTCAACAGGAAGTTCTCTCTACTGACCCTGAGAGACACAAAGTGTTAGCGGAGTTTTTACGCCAGGTAAACCCCTTTGGATTACGTTCAAGAATAACTCATGGCATCTTTTTGATACGTTAGGGAGGACTTATTGCAAAATTTACATTTGTCGGAATGTCCGTTGTACCATTACGGTAATAACTGCCTATCTGTGATAACAGCATCACTACCTTAGAGCTTCTACAATTTAGAAGGATAGTTTCTTTTCGGGTACAGAATAACATGCTTTATTTTGGCACCTTTCTTCCCTTCTTCTTCCGAAAGCCTTGTTATCTTGTTCATGTATTCATTAACAGGCGATTTAAGATGCGTGTTTTCACCAACAGGAACACAAACTAAGAACTCTCCGCTTTCTTCCTGACATCGTAAAACTACAACGCCTTCTCGTGGAAAAATTCCATCGTAGATTCGACAGAGAAGAAGCACAAGGCCTCAAAATACAAGACTTTCTTGAGAAAATTACTTCAAGTAGGTCGAACATATTTTTGTTTTCCTAATTTTTTAAATCAAATCACTCAAGTTTTAATGCATCTCACTTCATAGTTACAGAGAGAATTGAACTCGAATCACTGATAGCAAGCTTTAAAAATGCATGGAATCATGTGCGGTTGTCTCTTAATGAGGATGGTCCAGGTAAGTCAAGAGTGGCTGTATTTATAAAATAAATCCCTCGCGATCAGATGACTACCCTGTCTTGGAAACAGAATTATAGTATTTCTAAGGAAATGCGAAAAGTTATCGTGATATTAACCTCCTACCGAGTAAAAGGAGATAACAATAAATCTTTGATACCTTTAAGTACGCTGAACGTTACTTTCTTTCTCTTTACATAGTAATTCGACTTTCAAAAGGAGCTAGGTACATGTATCTTAGATCTTTTATTATCCATTCCTTTCCTAAAACAGGTCGTCTTCGACCACCAAAGGACTTGTGTGAGCAGGTCATGAATGATAAATCTCCTATCGCTGCGCTCCTTCCCAACGGCGATGGGAAGAGTATCTGCTCCTTGGCTCTAGTATTTTTCCTCACTACAGTACACAACGACTTCAATGAAAGATATCAGAACTTGATTGGTGAGAGAGTAAAGTAAGTATGCTAGACATGCTGCATTCAATCCTTATTTTGATCAACACCCGGCTGCATCTAGTTGACTAATCGGAGAGAGCAGGCCCACAAATTAAAATGAGCAAGAAATAAATAAGAACCCGGGTAGCAGCTGATGCGTGTTTATTATCTCAATTACCGTTGCAAAGCTACCATCAAATGTTTAGAGTCCACGAGAGACATTTTGTGTAACTGTGCATGCGTCACGTGTGGTCAATGTCAAAACATCGTATCGAAGTTTCTCGAGTGAGCCAACTCAAAAAGTACGCAAGCTTGAATACTAAAGATTATTGTAATGCGGTCTTGTTTGTGCAGTAAGAATGGCGGTTTTGTTTTGAATTGTATAAAATCATTAGGAAAATGGCCGGGCTTATGGTTTGCAATGCAACTGCACTATCTCGAGAAAATAATGGGATAAAGGATGAAGCTCCTGTTCTAGGCCCCAGGCTATTGATGGACAATTTCTCGTAAGGAAGTGTTTTCCAAGTCGTCCTCCTGAAAGCCTGAAAGTTTATATCTATGTGAGCTTCTGTAGAAGCGACCACTTTAAGCTTTCAAAGTGTGATTGAAAGCTATATATTTAAAACAGGCTGCTCAGGCTTATTTTCGTCTATGCTAAAATGTGCGTCAAATGCGAAGCAAATGTGAATCGTAAAGCGACCATAACAACTTTACGAATAACAGAAGCGTGACTATGGCCTTCTACCATATGTAAGTTTTGCTTTACAACGTTAATTTCGTACCTGGACCATTCAATTAGTGTATTGACAAGTAATACAAATCCCCCCCCCTTCCATTGAAAGATACAATCAATGGCGGTTACATAAAGTAAGAGCAGGATAACTAAGTTTTCAGACTCAACAAAAGAGCGGCCCTTAAATGATACTAATCATAATAAGATCCCTTGGCAGGGCCTCCGAGTCTAATCAACACCTAAAAGGCTGACAAAATCCAAGAAAAGGGCCTTTGAACGATTAATCAGTAACGCCTAATATAGGATGGAAAATTAATTATAGCAAATTCTGTTTTTCGAATGAAATTCCTTTCTTTTATTCAAACGATGGGGTGCCAAAGAGAACAGCTGAGCACTCCAAGAAGCATCTTTAGTGATTAAAAGCCCATCCATCTCTTTAGAACCGCTAGGGGCCTGTACCTGATCAATACATTGGAACGAAAAATCACCTCGGGTGTCAACAGAATTATTTATAGGGATAAAAGGAAAACACAAAAGCTGATGCAAAATTATCAAACTCTTTGTTTCACCTTCGCACAATGACAAAAGGTCTAGTTGCTTTGATATGAAATATACATGCATCGTCCATCACCTTTTTGATAAGAAAATAAAAGGTATATTCTATGTATCTATTTTCAAATCCCAACGTTTTTAAGGAGGCTTTTAGTATCGAAGGAATGGTATCAGGCTAGCAACCCCTTGCAGGAGAAATGTTCCCAGACTTTTCAACTCTGTGCACTTACTTTCATAGCTTATAAATTTTATGACAGCGAAGCCGTTAAATATGGCATTGAATGTATCTATTATGGTATGTATAACCTCCAGCTAGACTTTTTAATCATAGCTTGCTTACTCTGAAAGACATATAGCCCTTTTAATGTTACTTTTATCACTGATTTGAGTCTGAACCTATGTTTGATAAATTAGTCAAAACAATAGATAATAATTAAAGTTTACAACGGGGTCAGTTTTTGCAACCATCCAAGAACTGGTTAACATTATTGACGATTTCCGGGAAAACAACAATAACAAAAAGTAAAAAATCACTCAGGACTTTGACTTAAGGTTAATCTCAATCTGCCTGGTTTCATGTGTTAGCGAATGGCTTCTAAATGTTACGTTCATCTCGTTATGTGATTCTTAGAGACCTGCCTCACATACAGCTGCAAAACGTGATGAGGTCACATTTGATATCATACGACATTCAGCAGGATCTTTTACCCCTTATTATGGCTCAGTGCAGCTACTCTCTGGATGTAGGTCAGGGAACTTTGGTTTATTACAATTGGGAAGCTTTGGAAAGGCAGCTAATAGACCGGTTCCTTAGGGGAAAACCGATTATTGATTTCAAGGTAAGTAGTAACTTGAACCATGTACTCCAAGTCTCCCCGGATTTTCGAAGTTGTATCCGCAAATGTTTTTCTTGAAGGCGGGAGTCGGCAGACACACCTTGTCTCTGGTCATTTAATTGCATGAGGCCCAGGGTCAAACTTAACACGCTGTAGTAGCCTATCAGAGAGAGGATTACTGGTAGTGGTGTTTCAAGTAACAGGGATGGGAGGGTAGAATTTTGAAATTTCAGCCGTTTTTAGTTTGACCTTTAGTTCAGATGTTTTGTTGTGTTTATTATTATAAGTCTTTTAAAATGATTTTTTCATCGTATTGCGTTAACTCCATAGGATGAGAGGTTTTCATTCAGTAAAGACGTCCACTTGCACTCTGTTTTCACAAAAGTGAGAAACAAGGTTCCACAGGTAAAAAATTTGTTGTATGAGTGATCCAACTTTACACATTACCTACTATTGCTGTAATTGGTTACCTGCGCATTCAGCTGTATTTGACCACCTGATGCGCTCCAAGACAACTTAAAACATGGCTGTAGCGTCTTAAGCTGTTGCTCATTTCAAATCGAGAATGTGGGTTTAAAATTTGCAATACACATTTTACTGCAATGGGAGGGAGTTTTAATCGTGTACTTTGTTCGTCAATGAGCAGGGTTATGTCAGTCGGTCCGTGGACAAAATTTCACTTTAACAAATTAGAAAGAACTGGTCTAGAAAGTATTGTTTGTGAGTAAATTTTTATCTCGAAGGCAAACATGACAAACAAAAAAACAAACACAAAAAAAGCCTCCCGGAACCGTCGCTACCTGGAGTCTCGAAAAACAGAAAGCCGATCTGAGTCGGCCGCATGTTCACCACTCATTTGTCTGAGACTCACAAACATTAATAAAAAAGAAATCAACTCAAATTAATTACATTACAAAAACTTACTTAAAGTTGAGAAAGCTCTTTCCAAAATGTACCTTCATGTTAAAATCCACCTTCTCCTTTAATCCGCCATTCTAACTGCTTAGTCCTCGATTAGCTCAGACCTCAGTGGCAGCGGTGGCCTCTTCGTCGAAATATGTAAAAGCAGGTTTCCAATTAATAAATTACTCTTTGGAGTCTCTAAGAGATGATGAGGGAGAGAAAAACATTATGAATTCTCTTAAGAGATGATCGCAGCTGATGAATAACATCCATATTTTGTAACAAGCTCCTCAGGAAATTTTATTTGTCTTCGTAGGTTCCTCTGAGCTCAGCAGTGAGCACACAAATTTTAGCTGAGTTTCACTCGCTTGAAGACGTCTGTGATTTTTTAAAATCACTCGACATCGGTATTTCTTTCCTGTCTTCCACAGGAGGGCAACCTGAAACATCTCTAAATTACTACGTGGAGAGTGTTCTGCGTATGCCTCGACCAATTCGACAATTCAGTCAAAAGGTATAACATTTTGGTGTAGCGTTAATTAATCAACTGTACAGTTTCATGGAGTGGTTACGTTTTCACTTTGCAACCATTACACTCAACTAAAACAGCGCTTATGAAAGGTGATAATTTATTCATAGAACTTGTCATTTATTAGAAATTATGTATCTTCCTTAATTTGATGAAAGGAGAATATAGTTAAAAACTGAAGTAGGAAGAAAAAGATAAATATAATTTATATTTGAAGCAATGAAAATAGCCATTTGTTAGAAAAGGAGTTTTACTCTCTCATATTTTGGATCGCCCATGGTTTTATCAAGGTAGCTATGATAATTTATAGAAAGTATAATCAAAACTCAGGAAGAAACACATTTTGTACCTTTCTTAGGCGGAGCAGTACTGTCAGTTGAAACATGTTCTGTTTCTCTGGCGCGTCTTGAGCCTTCAGAGGGCAACAATTTTCATAAGGGGACATGAGGTAAGAGAAATTTTTTCCTTGATGAAGGGGATAATCCTTATTTTCGGCCCGCTCAATACACCGAATCGAAATATGACGTCCAATTTTAACTGCCAATGTTCTGGACTTACTAGCCTCTCACACATGTAATAATCCTTTTGTGTTTCTTCGTGAAGTCGAGGCTAGTAAGTCCAGAACAATGGTAATTCAAATTGGACGCTATATTTCAATTCGGTGTATAGGGAGCTTGAGTGCCAACGTTTTTTAGACGCGGACGGTAGCCGGAAGTTAAAAGTTTATATTCCTGTTCTTCAGTAGACCTTTTTGGTCAGTGCAGTTTGTTTTAAAATACTAAAACGAAAAACTTACGGTCGATACATTAGCGTTAAAGCGCGTCAGAGTTGGTTTTATTCTTCTTCCGGTTGCCGTCCACATCTCAGAAGTCTCTGCTTAAGTTCTCTATCTGATCAAGGCGTAAGTCCAAGTAAATGCCACGTTAATAAACCAGAACAGAACAAAAAATACAAAGAAGTCTTTAAAGCTTTAGGACATCTAATCCCACAAAACAATTCCGAAAAAGGATTATTTTGATAACCTTTTCAAAAGGACAAAGATAGCAACGACAAAAAATTTCGATGACATAAGTGTTCTATGTATACATATAAGATATACGAATATTTTACACCAACTATCGATCTTCAGAGTAAAGTACATTTTAGCGCGAGCAGAATCAACTTTAAAACTTATGATTGAGAATTCATTAATAGTTGAAATGTCGCTTTCTGTGGTTTGTCTCGGACAACATGTTTTTGAGGCAACATTTATCAACCAGCATGATTTCTTGCTCAGCTGGTTGACATTGCGGGCAACTAAAACGCTAGTTTCTCAGACAGGCATAAGTTGTGGGGAGAAAGGCTTCCCAGACAGGCGTTTGCACACTAGATAATGAAACATTTTAGGTCGTACCCTGTTCTCGAGAACTTTCATTCCCAGATATGCCATAAAGGAATCTTTTCACGGGAGTGCTTTCGATCAAGTTGGGGTTGTCGTATCTCTTTTTAAAGTCCTCCCTGTATTGCTGATGTAATCCTCTTTACCCCAGATGCTATCGTAGAATGATATCAATTTTTTTTACGTTAATATTATCATTATTAGCGTTATTATCTATTATCATTTTTCTTATTTTGCGATCTACAAAGTTGCGAGTTATTAAAATTGGCCTTCTTTTATACATAGGATCCGTTTGAACAGATTCCAGACATGTTCAAGGAGAAAATGCCAGTTAAGTTGAAAATGAAGTTTATCAAAAGCCTACCAATGATTGATTTGGGTCGCTTCGTGTTCGAGGTGTTGGAGCTAATTGCTCTCAACATTGTAGGGGAGTCTCTAGACAAAAACGATACGAGGTAATCTAGCCAGCGTTTTCATGGGTATGGGGAATCAGCGGTAGTTTTATGACTCCTTCACGACCAAAAGTAATGGAAATGATGTTATATCTCTTGCCACTCACAACAAAGACTTTTTGTGCGAGAAATGGGTTTTTAAACAGTTTAAACAGTCTACGTTTTAGACCAGTTTAACAGGCTTAGATAGATTTGGCGGACATGTTTGTATCCTCGTTAACACCCAACTCAGATCATCTTTCCGATCTTCAATATTCGACGTCATCACAGCTACGTCATCACAGCTACGATTTCCTCTTGAGCGGCAAAAAAATTTTGACTGTAGACCCGCCTGTAAACTAGTAATTGTGTGAAACTGACATCCTTTTGATTTTATAGAAAATAAAGTTGCCTTTTTCCATCCTAACATTTGATTTAAATGTACTTCAGCTAATTGGTGATAAACAAACTGTTTTGGAGGCGTCTTCTGTTCAGAATAACGGCTCTCATCCGTCTTATAATCCTCACGTTGTCAAACAACTTACAGTGCGGATACAAATTCAAATTCCAGCAAAGCAACAGTTTCATATTGTAAACCGTTGTTGGGATGTTTTACTCATTTCCTTGTCTACTTATTTGGCAGATCTTCCTTTCGAAAGTTTCTGTGTATGAAAGACCAAATGGTATATCTGTCCAGTTATTTGCCCAAGGCAACCTTTCGAGACAAATCCCTCTCTAATATTTTCTTTCTCCAAATTTGTTGTACAGCAATTTAGGTACGTAATAGTTGCTCCTCGTACACTTGACTGATTCCCTCCCTTTCCAAATTTCTTTTGGCTCCCCTCTAACAAAATATAAAATCTGTCATTTCTAATTAATCTTGGGTACTCTTGTTAATAATTCATGTTCAAAAATAAACTTCCGACTGATCATTTCATTTCATGAGATTAAAGCCATTCTTGAATCATAAGCTGTTCATTGACTTGTTAATAGTAATTTTCTTATGGACAATAATGTCTTTTCGAATTTGACACATCTCTCAAACAAAGCATTACAGAACGCTGCCTGACCGGTGGAATAATATAAAAAATGCATGGATGGAAGAGGCATCAAATTAAGGGTCTGACCAAGAACAATGATGTAATATGCTGCCGATATGAGATAATCGCTATGACAGTAACAAATCGCCTCCAATTTTTTTCTTTTCAATGCAGAGGAAAAAGTCAAAATACGGGGTGTCAATTGAGTTGATTACAAAACTTTTTTTCCCTCATTCGTTAATGCAGCCAAACAATTATAGCTGTCAAATCTCTCGGAGATTCCTCAATTAGAACTTATATGGAGTCAAGATAAGCTGTGTAAAACAATCGAGTCAATTAATTGATCTATGTGCTGGTCCTTTCATACACATTTGCGCCTAAATGACGACACTGGCTTTCCCCTGGAAACACATCTGGTGTGTTACAACGGTTCCATTAAGTATGGTATCAGCAACTCCAAAAAATTTTATATTTTGTAGCTTTGGAGTAAAAGAAAAAAGACAAAACTTAGCTAGTAGTACTCTTCTAGTTACAAAATCTTTGCAAGATGTGTCACAGTTGCATTACTAAAGTTTCTATTTAATTTTTTTCAAATATTTGCAAAATTGCTTTTTTTCGTGTCTAAACAGCTTGAATTGGAGTTATAAAACACACTACCCCATTGAATGGGGTTCTCGCTTATTCGGTCAGTTTTTTTTAAACGTAATTCTATTTCAAGGTTACAGGCTCCTTTGATGACGTATCTCTGGCCTTAAATTCCTTATAAGGACAATGACCTATAGTAATATGATTTTTCTAATGGATGAGTTTCGCCATTTTGAAAAGATGCCACCTCCAAAACAGCGCATTCATCAGGAATTAGTTAGTTGATATTTACAAATCTAACGAAGTAACAGTCAAGGAACTTAATTTTCAAGAGTTAATGAACAAAAACAAAAACAAAAAATTAAGACGAATGATTTTTCCGATTTCAAAATATTACGAGCGACTCTTCTGTCAAAATTTTCCGCGGCTCTGAGGAGAAAATCGTGATCTTTTAAATCAAATGAGACTTCAAATTTGGAAAATTCTATGTGCTTGGGTACTCAATTGTTGCGAATCATCGTTGAATATTGTATCCTTAGTTTTACAATTGATGAAAAGTGTGCTCCATTATATATCCTTTCTGTAGCAGTTACTTATTACTGATATTTTGCCATCGTATTTGTTCACCCAGTCTTTCAGCTTAAAGCTTTACGTTGAATGGCACCTCGACAACAACGAACATATGCCAATTCCTGGTCTCGACCAACTACCAGAAGATTTGAAGCTGACTCACGTGATCGACGTGTGGAAAACCTCTGTTGAGGAGAGGGAAGCGTTTTGGTTTTGAGGGATTCCGTGCCAGACTCTTTATGTTAAGTCCGAGTTCAAATTTTATGATTGCTCCAATTACAGAGCCAGACTGTATGTTACCTGTTGTTTACATGGTCTTTATTTCCTTCTTAGAGTTTTGAAAAATTCCAGTGAGGATAGGACCACGACAACAATTAAATTTGTTTAAAAAGGATGACGATTGGTCGTCTAAAAGCAAACAACCAAAAATCCTTTCAATGTAGTTACCTGGAGCTCTGCTTCATACCTTACAAGGGTTTATAGTGTTGCTAAACTAGTTGAAGGAAACTGTTGTTCATTCTTTTATCTTATTTATCCTATTATAAGCCCGTATTGCTTGCAAAGCCCTGACATTTAATGACAATAAATCTTCATCAGTTGTTTTAGTCATGTCTCAACTTTTGGAGAATGATCTTTTTAAAGTATGCTCGACGGCCGCGATTAAGTCAAAATGGAGCTAAAATTGGCGTGAGTGGAGCGGAAACCGATTGGGATTTTTCACAAGAAGTTTCAAAATAATAGCAGCGTGAAGTAGCATTAGACGCGAAGACCTATAATGTAGAAATGATTGGTCATTTTTTACTCAAAATTTCCTGGAGTCGTAGGAGGCATGGTAAAGAAATATCTAGCAAAGGGTGGATTCGACCTTCCCCCGATGTCGGGTCTGTAGGGAAGCTTTGGGGAGATTTCAAAGGTTTAAGGCTGTTGTGAACCTTGTGTTGACATATTCACCGAGGGGCAGGATAATGAACAGAGCTGTTTTGTCAGGGTTTATATTTTCATGGGGATGTTTTATGATTAAAACCACCCAGTATGGACTACTCAATAGCTGCGTTGATCACAATTCCTTTTTTTCGTAATTTGAGATAATTAGCACAACATGATATTTTGTCGGCACGTATCGGAGGGCTGGAGACGGGACGAGGCGCAGGTAATATTGTGGGATCGTTGTTTGTAAAATGGGATCGTTAGTAGGGTAAGCTATTCTATGGTCAGCCTTCGCCGTGTAAAGCTATTAGTTTTCTTTTCCAATAAAATCTATGTTTTTGTTTGTTATCTTTTTCTGAAATATTGTCGTTTTCCTTCCTTAAGTAGCTGTTACCTATCTGTGCGTACCATGTTATACATGGGATACCCTAAAACCCCGAGGGCGGGTGGCACAAGTGGTCGGAGTTACACGTTCCCGTTTTTTCTACCTGTTAGTTTTGAGTGGTTTTCGTGTCCCTCTTTAACGTTTCTTTCAATGGTATATACTTTTTTAAGCACGTTGGTACTATAGAAACTATTCGGCGGCTTAGTTGGCCAAACCGACCAGATATCATCGGTTTGTGTGCCCGATTGGGTCGTGGAGGCAAAATACACGATTTCTCACCGTCAGCTTCTCCTGCCTTTTTTTATTTTTGAGATATGATTTTTTACATGATTTAATAATTAGCTGTGATTAGCCCTTTGGTAAGAAATGTTCCCTCGACGGTCGCCTTTTTTCCCGAATGAGTAGACAAGGATCACGATGTTTGAACTTTATTGTTTGCACCAGAGTGAGTGCTCAGCCGTGTGGTAGGTGTGCTCTGAAACGGTGGAGGTTTATGTCCTAGTATGTTTAATAAATCTGTCACGTTCCTTGATACGTTCTAGCGGTGTTCCAGTCTCGCCCATGTAAACTTTACTTCACTTACAAAGCATCCTGTCATCCCGCCGTTCATTTGGCCGTTTCACCATCACCTACCGGCCTAACCAAGTACGATGATAGATTTTTCTTCTTCTTCGAGATGACAAAGGGGTTTGTCGCGCTCTAAAAGACACTCGAAAATACTTCATTTTAATGACTTTTGTTAGTGTGAATCACACGATAAGAATTGGTCAGTGTGCGTAAGCCTCCTGTATACTCTGTCAGTCAGGCGTGAGTCAGTTTCTCCTGAAACTTAGGTGTCAAGGAAAACGAATTTGCAGCTTTTTACTCGGGCTTCCGTAGGAAAGCCCGAGTCTGAAAATGCAAGCCGTTTTGGTCGCCAAAAGGTGGGGTCATGGTTCCAGGTGTTCCTTGCGTAAACCGCCGAAACTGGGGATGAGAGTGCGACAACTTGTGATCGTGAGCTCGTTCTTCGTAAACGACGTAATTTACAGAATGCTGCGTTTTACGACGACCGCTATGCAAAGATTCCTGTCTTATAAGCTCATCCCACATGCAAACGCACACGCCGTTCGC